GTGAAAAATGCATGTCTGCACATGACAAGACAGAAGGGTGCAGCTTGAAGTGATAGGTATACGGATGGGCTGGGGGCTTGCTTATGCGCACCAGCCTCAGACAGCTCACCACTGAGGGAAGGACAAAAAGGAAAACTCAGCCTTCTTCACGAAAGCAGAAATGACACTAGTCAGACTCAATACCAGCCAGCCTGAATTTTCATCAAAACAAACACACAATATGACACGGTTCAACTTACACTGCACTACACATGCTGTCAAAACAGCACTGCAGGAATGTCTTTGACAGTAAAAAAGCCTGATTAGGTCCCATTTACACTGCTAAGGAACCTCAGACCTCCCCGGGGTCTCTCAGGCTCTGGCCTCAAACTTTCATCTGACCCAATTACCCAATTAGCTGAAGTGGTGGTCAGACTAGTAAGTGTTGACGGCTGGGACAACTGGGGAGGATAAGCCTCATGTGGGCCCCCAAAGACTGGAGACACATATGCCTTTTAAGGATCATTAACTTTTACTAAAAGAAGGGACTCTGAAACAAGATGGAACTTTAGGGAAAGCTATGGTTGCTCTTCAGTTCAAATCTATGCTCAAGCTTTTGTGTTTTCTGGCAGAACAATTGATAAGTTAGTCTTGGTTCTACTGGGTTCATTTCCTATAAGCCAGACACAAACCTTTGTATCGTGAATTTTCTGACAAAAATGATAATAGGTGTGTGTGTGTTCCATGAAAATAACTCAGGCTGTTTAAAGCTTAATAAAATATGTAGAACCTTAGTAGTCGGTTATTAATTTGCTGTACTAAAACCGAAAGAGAAACTCTTCTCCTTGCTATGCGTTTGTCTATTTAACACCTTAATCCAACTGCTGAAATGTCTCTTCAGCCTTCCTTAGTGTCTACAGGATCGGTTCATCATGAAATCAAACACATCAGCTGTGTTCAAAATCTAAAAGATGCAGGAATCATGTGACGCAGACTCCAGTGCTAGCATCTCAGCGCCACTGTTCTATTGACTAACTGGGACCGGTCCAGATACTCTGAAGTTTCAAGTGTGGTATTATGGCCACAGGGGGCGGTGAGGTCTGAGAGACACCCTGCAAAAGGTTATTTCAGAGCATACTGGTTCAAGAACAATATTTAAAAATAGGAAGAAGTTGCATAGTATCTCTTTAAAAATGCCAACTTCCCAGCAGAAATAAACATGTTTACAGCCTGGTGCAAATGTTTTTTTTTTAGGTTTAATACGTCAAGTTTACTGTCATGACAACTCTTGAATGTGGTTTGTTTTTTTGGTAACTCATTTGTTTCAATTTAACTTAGGCTTGAAATTATGAATACTTAGGGGAGTGTCCTTGTGACTGACAGGTAGCAGATGAGTCATCAGAGCTAGCGCTAGTAGCTAGCCTCCTGCTTGCTCCAGGGAAGGCCTCAGCCTTGTCCTCAGGTTAAATGTTTTACAGCCTAGACGGTAGAGGCTAGCAGAATCACTTCAACATGGTTTTCTGGCTAAATGTGCCTCTGTTAGCTTGAGTTAGCTCGTAGCTACATCAGCAGAGTTTGTTGGGTGTTAATATCTACTCTCACCCTCACAGCCCTGCTCTCTGCTCCATTTAATCCTGTTCTACCACAAACTAACATACAAATATTTCATTTCCTTCACATCTGATTTCACATTACTGCAATATTTAAAGCATTTAAAAGTTAAGAACAAATATCACTGCTATGCCTGTTTAAAAGATTAACAATAAAAACCCAATTGGGCAGAGTTGTAACATCTACCGAGGAGGATCATTTTCAGAAATGTATTTTCCAGAGTCTGTAAGGTCTGAATGTGTAATAAAAACTAAATGAGCTGTGACACATCATGGGACTCTGAGGTTTCTATGATAATTCAGAATATGGAAAGCTATGAACAACAAAAATCATCACAACAGCATAGCTGTTTCATACTCTCCATTAACTTACGACTATTTTTATTTGACATTTTCAGGGCCATCAAAGATATAAGAGCATCCCAAAGAAGATTGATCAGTCACACACATGATCACTTTACTGTCCTCCATGATCTGGAACATAACTAGTGCCCCTCATGAGCCAGTTTCACCTCTCTTCTTGAAAGTGTCATCAAACCATTCTTCACTTTATGGGTTAAGTTTACTGTTCAGCTATTTAAAAACATACTTCTATAGAAAAGGGGAAGTTTTGCCACTCACCAGGAATAAGAAGGTTTTTTCCCCCCATTTGTAATATAAAAAGCGTTTCACCACAATGGAGGGGCAAAAGGCTGATATAAATCATTGGTCATTGTGGATGAGTTTGTACGGCAAAATACTCCTTAAAACCAATACCATGAACTAACATTAAAAAAATATGTCAAATTTAATGATTTTGAAGAAAATAGGCAAAAACAGAAATGTACTTTTCCAACTTTAAAGTCAGCTCCACCTTAACAGAAGTGGCTTTTATGACTGAAGCAACAAGCCTCTTTTCAGTTCATTAATATGAGTCTGAAGACTTTGTGAGAACAAGAGTTCTGCATGTTTCTCTCTTATGTGACGTTCAGGGTCACATACCAACAAGTTGCAACAATCAAGGGTTTCTTGGCATAAATCACAAAAGGCATGGATGAAATTCATGCCAAGATACACAAGGTCATTGACAGAAGAAATATTCTACAAGGATCTTTTGTTCTTTGCATATTTATCCATTGATAACTGGGAATTTAAAAGAATTGGGAGTGGAAACTTTCCGATGTCTACCACAGAATTACACCTAAGCCAACTCAGATTATTACCACAGGAATGGTTCCTTCAGAGAGGAGTATTATGGACTTTATTGAGTCACCTTAAATTAATCATTCAGATTTAAGGATAAAAGCATTCTAGAAAAAAATTTGAGAGTGAAAATGTGTTTAATTCATTATCTCACAGTAACTCCAAATTTTACTGTATTTGTTTTTTCAAATACACATTTTATTTCTCAAACTTTAAAACTCATGCAGGTATTCTTACAAGCTTTAATGCTTAAAATCGTTTACTTGTTATAAGTGTTTGACACATTTCTTGGGCCTTTCTTCGCAGTATAAAACCATCTCAGAGGGAAAGCAGAGTAAAAGCCAAATAAAATGGTTTCAAGCAATAAAAGGCCATGTGGTATCCAAACCTCAGGTTCAGGTATTAAATAAAATAAAGTCTGATGTGCAAGTGGGTGTGGTTAGAAAGAGGCTCCCTGGCAAAAAGAACAGAAGCTGTTGTCTCTTGCGTCACTCAACCTCCTGAATGTCTAGGCTGAACTGTTCAGCACTGAAAGAGAGACATTTTTCAAATACCTGCAGCATATTTACACACCTGCTTAGTGTGAGGAGGGCGGAAAATCCAACAGTTTCAGGTCATTACAGAAGCAATTTATTTCTAATCTCGTGACACCGTTTTGGCCTGGCCACAACAACGAGCCAACGTCCGCGTATTCATTTCCACAGATGGCATTGGTTCCCATCCTGGCTTGGTAAAATGTTTTTACTATAGCTAAACAGGAAGTGGAACATAGCTGTTGATGGCTTCAGTCGGAGCTTGGGAGGAGGGCCTGCCTTAGAGGCATGAAACTACAGTGTAATCAAGGTCTTTGCCAAATTACAGGCCAAAAACATCACTAAGAGCAGTTCGATCAAGGGCTAAGAGAGGTCACCCATTGTAGAGAACTTCTTAAATCACAAAGTAAATTCCTACATAGAAGTTCAACGCAGAACACAAACGAGGCCCCACTTATGCGAGGCATTTAAGGGTTTCAGTACAAAACAGCTTCTTTGTTATGGCTCTAAAAAGTCATTAGGAGGGAAATGATGACAGCGTTACAGGCAGCTGGATTGTGTCGCTAAAGAGAACTGTAGATTTAGTAGAAAAAGCAGCTACGCAGGTTCCTCCTGAAGTTTCAGGTCAATTAAGTGAAGGAAACTGCAGCTTTAGGAGGATGTCAAGCTAGTTTCTGTTAGTAAAACGACAAATTGGAAGGCAAGCATCAGGCCAGTTTGCTTCCTTCACTAGAGAATTCCCATGCTACGGAAACACACTAAATAATGAATGAATAAATGACCCGCACTTGTATAGCGCCTCTCAGAGTAAGGACTCCAAAGCGCTTTACACTACAGTGTATCATTCATCCATTCACACACACATTCATACACTGGTGGGGATGAGCTACGATGTAGCCACAGCTGCCCTGGGGCACGCTGACAGAGGCGAGGCTGCCGAGCACAGGCGCCACCGGACCCTCCGACCACCACCAGCAGGCAAGGTGGGTTAAGTGTCTTGCCCAAGGACACAACAGCAGAATTCTCTGTCCGGAGCCGGGATCAAACCTGCAACCTTCCGATTACAGGACAACCCGCTCAACCTGTTGAGCTACTGCTGCCCCAAAAAGACCACGTATAAACACAATAAGCATCATCTTGTTTAAACTGATGCAGATTAACTCGTTCACTGCCAGAGGTGTTTAGATCAGAAAAGCCCCTGACTGCCAGCGTTTCTGAGCATGTTTACAGTTTTTTGAAGTCACAGAATATTGTGCTCTATGACCATGTAAACATAGACACACTTAATAAGCATAGACACGCTTCTTACATCAGGAAGAATAAGCATGTTTTGAGCTATTTGCTTTCTTTCACAATCCGTTGTCGAAGTATGACCTGCAGAAGCTTTTCCGGTTAGAGCCTCGCATTTTTTGTCCAAAAATGATCTAATTCCTGGATTTTCTGATTACTGATCATGACGTGTGACGCACATGCGTGAAGATAAGAGCTGTGATGTTTACTCTCAAGGTGCGGGAGCTAGTTCTCAGCCCCATCTTGTTAAAAAACGCAATTTAGTCGTTAATTGGAGTGAATGAGTTAAATTTGCTGATAGGTCAGATGTAGGACTAGTATGTTAGGTGTATCAATAGCAACACACCCTTATTCATTCAGAAACACACACCCAGCCTTGTTGAGCCACAACATGCAGGTAACAAACCTGGTTAATTGAATTGGCAGCACACGACGCGAGGCCTGTTCCCAGAGATGATACACAAAGCATGATGGGATCAAAGGGCACCGGAGCCATTGCAAAGCCAGCTGCTGCTGTTGTGACCACCAAAGCTGAAATCAAATCATGCAAAAAGGAAAATTAGAATTTTTCACTTTTTTTATTAGAGCAACTTTAGTTGTTCAGCATAAGTAGACTTTTTCTGAGTTTGTGCATATTTAAAGGTGTGGAATCAATACATTTGCATCATAGTAGAAATGAATGCCTTGTAAGTCGTACGGGGGAACAGAAGCACCTGCTTAAGCACGAATAATTTAGCTGGAGGAGAAAGTAGCTTCAGACTGATTTGGACTTTTATTTCCTGATATTTGGACATCTTACACCTGATTGGATAACAGCAGAGCGACTCTACCACTGACTCTGTTTGCTTTGCAATGTTGATTTATCTCCACAACTAACAAAAGCCTGGAAGTTAGGGCTGGACGATCTATCGTTAATGGAATGAAATTTCAATTTCTAACAACTCGAACACCTGATCGTCAAAGCTGTGATTTTTTGTAGCGTTCCTGACTGACCCAGGATCTGTTGTCAACTATTTTAGACATTCTGGGTTTTCCCCAAGCCCCCACAATGCGGCTTTAAAATTGAAGCCAACCCGGAAGTACCAAAAATTGCAGTTCCACCCTCATCCGCTGGGGGCTGGTGTCAGAAGCGAGCAAATCCTCATTGACTCCCATGTTAAAAATACCAATTTCACAGCAGAAATAAACATGTTTACAGCCTGTTACCAAAACATGTTTTTTGTTTAAATGATCTAGTTTACACTCATGACAACTCTGAGGGGGGTGAATTTTTTTCTCACTCTTCTGTTTAAGTGTATTAAAAGCCTAAAATTCTGTATAATTAATGAGCATCAGACCCACGTGACCACAGAGCTAGCTCCGTGGAAAGGCCTCAGTAGAGCCTCGGTCTGGCTTGGAAACTGGTCTGGGATTTTGAGTCTCTGTGTTTGTGTATTCTTTTTTGGATATTTTTAGTGCAATTGTTGGACAAAATGACTTGCTGTGGCATTAATTGCACTAATAGAGTGTCCACTTCATTTTTTTCGGTAAGTAAAATTATATTTATGTATTTTAGGTCACTGCTGAGCTGAGCTTAGATTTCAACATGTACTGTTTAACCATGAAATTTAAATGTAATAGGGTAAAACCCAGTGCATTTAACATAATGCTGCACTTTAGAAAATGGGTTGAAATATAACATGTTGGTGGAGCTGGGTTCCGACTATCGGCTTGTGGAGCTCTCGGGAGACAGATGTTTTCCACCTGGAATGCCGGCTGTTTCTCCCCGCAGCCCGGTCCATCTCTGTCTGATCGCGGCTCCTGATAGCTGCGCGGGCTGACGGCTGGTTCTCCCAGCAGCTCGGCGTATCTGTCTGATCGCGGCTTCTGTGTGCTGTGCGGCTGCCGGCTTGTGGAGCTCTCGGAGACCTCTGTGTTCCACCCGGTTTTACCCAGCGGTCAGCCCGGCGTATCTCTGACTCAGAAGCTCTGGTGTTGTGCACAGTTAACTCCGGTTGTAGCTAGGTTGCTACCTCCATTAGCTTAGCTCCCACCTCCGCGTTAGCTTCAGGTTAGCTTGTAGCTAGTTCGACCGGGTGTCGTCAGTTGATCCCAGCCTTACAGCCCCACCCTCAGCTCCACCTCTCTTCCCTTTTTTGGAATTGTCTGGGCTTGACGGAACCTGTGACACGGTCAAAATGGTGGTTGTGGCCACCTCCCATTTGGCCTCAAAAAAGTGATATTGGAGTCTATGGAAATTAATTGTCCAGTATATATGTCGATGGTTTTCCCGAGTTACGGGAGGGGGATACCAGTACTGGAGCTGAGCCCAGCAAACAGAGCTGCACATTTTGGTCATTTTCTGCTGTAATGGAGCAGCCTGCACAGTCTCTGGAGATGTTCCAGAAAGCTGGGAGTGAAATCTGATCAGATTAGCTCAAAACATTGACAGCTAGAATGCCTCCGATCTTCAAGGTGAGAACCCCAACAAGAGGTGCTTTTATTTTGCAATAAAAGCAAAATGTGAATAAAATATTTATTATCGGTATTGAAACCTGACATCTGCAGTTCCTCTTCCTTTGTGGAAGACAAGAAAATTACCAAGTTATCCTAAATCATCAAGCTGTGGCAGGGTTTCCCCAGAAAATGAGATAAGCCTGGCGGATTCAGCCGTCAGAGGGGGTGGGTGGGCGGTCGTTGTCGCGCTCTCCGTCCCGTAGCGCTCCTCCGTGAGAGCGGGGGCGGGGGTAGGGGGGTTGCACACGTTCCGCTGCTTTTTCTCACCAGTATCAGCTGATGGAGGGCTCTAGTTTCATTGCGCCGTTCGTGTCAGCGGACATGGTAGGGTCGGGAGGGGGGCGGGGCATGACGCATAGCCTGGCGGGCTGCCAGGCTTATAAAGCGCTGGGAGAAACCCTGTGTGGTGTAGGTAGTTTGTTAAGATATTTGGCACACACTCGTGATCAATGATCAGTACAGGCAATAACAAATATCTGCAGGCGATTAGACACCATGCTGTATAAACACTTAACCATTCTATGAGGCGTTGGCCACCCTTCCATTACTGCTGAACATCTTTATGTAGATATCTGAAATATTCTGCACTTACAATTTAATCAGTACCTGTAAGTTTGATTTTGGAGAGCCGAGCATAGATGTCCGGTAGATCGGCCACATAAACTTTGACCTGCTTCCACTGTCTGTCCAGGCGGGCCTGTCTCGCCTCCTCCGTCTCAATGTAAATATGAGGAGCTTCAACAGGAGTCGTATCCATAACGGATAGAGAACCTTCTTGCGCTGCCACATTTTCTGCAGCGGGCTTCAGGATGGACTCATCACGCTTTTCCACAGGGATGATATTGTCTGGCGGTGAAGCTTGTTTCATAGCTGGTATTCGCTCCACCTGCCTCTCAATGCTGTCGTCTCTTTCATCAACGATGATCTGGACTTGCGTCTGTTTGGGGACGGCACGTTGGTGAAGCTCACTGTTGCTTTTTGCAACATACTGTGAAAGAAAAAGACAGTAAACAAACTGATGAGAAAGGACACAATAACTAATGAAAATAAAATCAATTTAAACATCCGAGTAGAGGAGGACTCCACTGATATCTTCAAGTAGAGCTGGTGGCGGGTGGGCCTCACTGCTAGGGCTGCTAGTTAGATCTGTTATTCCATTTAAATTTCAGTTAAAATGTGTTATTATCAAGTTCTGATGCTTTAAAATTGAATAATTTCAAGTAAACGTGCATAGCCTGAGAGTTAAACTCAGAGTGATAGATATTTACAAAAGAAAAAAAAAATAAAACAGTTTCTCAGTGAACTTGCTCATGCTGGAGACCCACCCAGCTATTTGCAAAAAAGCAGGAGACAAAAATTATTTCACGTACCCCTCAAAAAACTTCTCTCTGAATTTTTAACGTTTAATGTCCCCACCCAAAATTTAATGGGCTTCTTGCCTCTGGGCTTCAGCTGCAGATCACTGCTCTAGTTATAGATACCTCTCGTTTTAGAAAGTTGAGATGCTGATACGTCAGCCAGCTGGAGGGACCTCTTCTGCGCACATGAACGAGACTGCAGGCGCTATGGTTGCACTGAGGTGATATATGAAGTAACTTCTGTTTCACATGTGCACCAATAAAACCTGCAAAACAATTTACAGTAAATGTACATTTAACCGTTTAAATGCCAACAATGAAAACACAAGTAATGCAAAAGGCTGGAAAAAAACATAAAACAGCACAGTGAAATACGTCATGAAGTAATGTGCATTATAATCAAACACAAAACCTGTGGAACAAACATTAAGGAACCTTTAACTGTTAACAGTTGGTTTCCTGGATCATTCTACGATTTTTTTTATATTACAGAAATTCAGAGTTCATAAGTAAAACATGCATCGTAGCTTCATAACTGATACGGTATTGATCAAATAAAAGCACAATAATCGCAGAAGAAATTAAGGTTTTCTGTGGCTGAACCTTTAGTGCAGAACAAGATATTGCTAACTTGCCATGAAAATTGTTTTCTTATCATTAGTCACAGAAAAGAACAGCGTTGGTAAAATTATAGCGTGATTCACTTTTATTTTCCCATCAAAACTTACTTGCAGCAGAGAGCTACACGCTAAATAGCTTACACGTTAGCTTTGAGGCGATTAACCTATGCGCGTTAAACCTAGCTTTCACCTGAAACGAGCACATTAATAAAACCATCGCTTTTTTTCATACGCGTACCTGTCAGTCGGCTACATGGCGTTTTATACATGTTCTTGACTCATAAAGCAGAAACCCGGCACGACCCTTTCACATGCAGTGCGCCGCCATTTTGACCTCGTTCGGTAAAGGGTAAGTACTTCCGGGTTACAAATAAGTTACGAATATTACCACAGTAAAAGCTTCTGGATCTGACAACTATTTTCTTTTATTATTATTATTGACCATTAGGTCATTAAGATATATTTATAAGGAATACAGGATACATAAATGACCAAATATCAAATTTGGAGTATAAACACAATAATATAGATTTGACAACTATTATAAAAGGCTTTTTCATTTCACATGAGTTAGTATGGAAAAGCCAAGTAACTAAAACTCAGTTCAAATAAGTGAAATAAGAGAATTCAACAGATCTTACTTATGTCAGAGTTTGTCATGAACTTTTGTCTGTTTTTTTTTCCACTCTGTAAATTCAGCACTTACACCTTTGATAAAAAAAAACACGAATCTTTTTCTTTTTGTTGAATTTTTTTAAACTTTATTGACTTTGAACACAACTATAATCAGATCAAAAGCAACTCAAATTCAAAAGGCACCATAGGAAACAATCACTGAGGTGGAAACACAAACTGCATACAGAAGAAGAAGAAAAAAGAATCCCACAATGAGGGAATTCACTGGTTACAGCAGCACACACACTTAAAAAAAAGAAGTTGTTTATAATATTACAGGTAAATACACATAGACAGTTAGTTATTATTGTAGCCTTCAACCACTAAAAACAACAAATAAATAAGAAATCTTGGGTTTCCAGAACTATGCAGCATAAGGGACACAGACATAATGTGAATATTGCATTACATTGATGTTATTGTGTACCAGGATAATGCCAGTACTAGTTAAACTGAAGAGTTATACACTTTTACTGCAGAGAGGATGAATGACATATGGTAGCGTTCTGGGATGTCTCAGTCTGCCACTGATGGAGCTGTCCTTGAGTGGGAGGGGTTTTCCAAGATGGAGGTCAGCTTTGCCATCATCTTTCTTACACTGACATTCTCACCAGGATCCAGTGGGCAACTAGAACTTAGCTAGCTAGCTTTTTTAAATCAGTGGACTCGGTCTCCTTTAAAAAGCAGCTAAAACTCATCTGTTCAGGCTGGCTTTTTCATGACCTTTGGTTGATTCATTCTACCAATTCTCTTTCCCCAGCATCTATTGATTTTCTCTTTCATTATCATTCATTTCTATCACAATTTTTTACCTTTTCCAAATTTATGATGTAAGCTTTTAATCTACTCTATTTTCTATTTTATTAACATATTGTTCGTGTGAAACACCTGGTGATTTCTTCACTAGCTTGTTCAGTCTCTTCCTGTCTTGGCCAGAGCTGGCTGCACCCCAACAGACCACAGCAGAGTGAATAGCTGAGTCAACAAGAGAGACAGAAGGATTTTAGAAGATGGGAATTAACTCATAAGGACCCGAGCCTCCTCAGGGGAAGGCAGCTTTGGCCCCTCTTGTACAGAGCATCAGTGTTGTGGGACCAGTTCAGTTTACTGTTGAGGTGAACACCCAAGTACTTAAAGGTATCCACGACCTCAGTGTCTGCTCCCTGGATGTTTACCGGTGAGTGAAGAGGAGTGTTTCTCTGAAAGGCAATCACTATTTTCTTTGTCTTACTGGCATTCAAGTAAAGGTGGTTACGCTCACACCAGTCCACAAAGTACATGATGACCTGTACGCCTGGTGATTCCCCCAGACACACAGCTGACAATATAAGTGTCGTCTGAGATTTTTCACTATGCGCCGCTATAAATATAAGTTCTGGTCATGAAAAATAGGATATCATGACAAAGTGGATTCATTGCAGGAATTCCATGCAAAAAATGAAACTTGTATCATAGATTCATTCCACACTTGACATGGTTTGGGGAATGCGTTTAACCCAAGACATGCAGAATCACACACTCACAGACCTTATGGTAAAAAACAGAATCTTTATTTTAAAACGGGAACTGAAGGTGCACTGGAAAAGCCCAGTGGAGATCGAGAACAGGAGCGCAGCGTCTGAGGGGGGGAGAGCAGATACAGGTGAGTCCAGGAAGGCAAGTCTAAACTTGGTGGGTGCAGAGAATAGACTTACTGGGAGTAGGGGAGTGTAGGAATGAGGGAGGGTAGGTTGGGTTACGGGGTGAATCCAAGTGGGGTGTCCAGGAGACGGAGCGAAATGCGAGCAGGAGAACAGGCGAGCAGGAGAGCGGGCCGGCCGGGAAGAATGGAGAACGGTGAGAGCTGTGTCCGGAAATCCTATGGGGCACAGGTGAGTAATCCTGAGGAGTCGCAGAAAACCAGAGACGTAATCCAGAGAAGTCACAGAAGTCCAAAAAATGTTCCAAAACCTGGTAACGGGTAAGCACAGGGAAAAGATCCAAAGGTTCACAAAAAAAATTCTTAGAAACACTAGAGCACAAAATCCAAGCGTCGCAAGAGGGCAGGAAACTACCAAGCTGTAGTAATCATCCGGCGTTGAGGAGTGTTCTCCATCCTCCTTTTGTAGCCAGACCCGCTGATTGTAAATCAGCTGCAGCTGGAGCATCCCTCTCCTGAAACACACAACGCAAAGATGGGAAAATCAGAGGAGAACTCACCCCGACACATGACAACACTGATATATTTCAAAAGTTTATTTCTTAATTCTGATGATAACACCTGACAAACAGTGCAAATCCTATATTAAGTATTTCAGAAAAGATTAGAATATCAATTTAGACCAATGCAGAAAAAAAGAAATTTTAGAAAAAATTGAAAAAAATATCAGATCACCTTCAAAACTCCCACGCCCAGGGCCGCATCAAGGTATTTGGGGACCAAGGCAAAATAGGCTTAGATCCTCCCCTTCTCTCCATACACCCGTTCACCACACGCTCAATTAACTTAAGATGGCAGCCTGCTAAGTGTACAGTTGTTACTTTTATATAATAAAAACTAATTATCTGGCGGACCTGGCCAGCTTTAGGAACTTTTATGTCCAAGGGCAATCATAATCCAGCCCCGAGGGAGGTGATCAGAAGGACCTGCAGAGCAAATTCTTTTTGTTCCTGCTACTGTCTGTCCAGATTTCTAGGCAACACAAGATTAGCAGAGGAGAAACCCTAACTTTAATCCTAACCTCCCATTCGCAAAATGTTGCATTTCTGTAGTCAGACAGAGCAGAGATGGATGGACGTGCAGCTGATTTGGTGTTGGAAAGAACATTCTCCAGATGAGCAAATGCCTGTTACTTTAAGTTTGTGAAAAATAAGGATATGAAGAACCTTCTAGTCAAATGCTCTTCGTGTGCAACACCTGAAGAACTGTTTTTATATTTAACTGTTCTAACCACAATCCTAACTTAGTCAGACAACACATAACCTTCCACTGGATGTGTAATGAGCTAATTGAGCATCATGAGCTACATTTAGATAGCCAAATCCACATTTGCAGTTTTTCTAGTGAGAGCAATGCAAAAGTAATGTAATGCCTTACAATTTAAAATCAGTAATATTGTAATGTAACAATTTACTTTAAAATGAGAGTAAGAAGTAACAAATAATGTGTGAATGTGTGGATGACTTGTGTTGTAAAGTGCTTAGGGGCTTGTAGAACCCTAAGACAGCGCTATACAAATACAGGTCATATACCGTTTACCAGAGGTGTGACCAAGTCACTGCTTTGCAAGTCACAAGTAAGTCACAAGTCTTTCCAGTCAAGTCTCGAGTCAAGTTCAAGTCAAAAACAACCAAGTCCAAGTCGAGTCCAAAGTCAATGATGTGGAAGTCCAAGTCAAGTCCAAGTCCTTAACTTTGACTTTACAAGTCATACTCAGGTCATCTGTCCATCTTCAACTTAATGATAATGATAATAAATAAATTCCAGATATAAAGCTTCTTAAAGTTTAATTTATTTACTCAAACAAGCAGAAAGTGCAACTGAAATTGATTACAAAGTGCTGCTGCATTTAGCAGTACAAGATATAACCCAGAACGAAGAACGATTTATGATTTTTGTCCATGTCGTGCCACTTTTGTGCAAAAATATCGAATAGGCTCAAGTCATCATCAAGTCAACAGATGCAAGCCAATTCAAGTCGCAAGTCATTGGCATTCAAGTCCAAGTCAAGTAGTAAGTCTTTATAGATCTTATCAAGTCAAGTCAGAAGTCATTAAAATAATGACTCAAGTCTACCTCGAGTCCAAGTCATGTGACTCGAGTCCACACCTCTGCCGTTTACCATTACAGTTTTGAAGTAACTTGCCCAACACTGCACGTCATCTGCTGGTGTTGGTCCATTGTGTTTTCTGAGGTCCAAGGTCAACGCAGCCATCTACCAGAAAGTTTTAGAGCACTTCATGCTTCCTGCTGCTGACCAGCTTTATGGAGATGCAGATTTGATTTTACAACAGGAATTGGCATCTGCACACAGTGCAAAAGCTGCCAGAACCTGCTTTAATGCCCGGACCACACTGTGCGACTTTCGGCCGTCTTATCCAAATCCCTCGTCATAAGCAGAATTGTAGCAAAAACGATGAATATGAAGGTGATTTGCATATTTGCGGACATCCAGTGTGACCGGTGTCGGTACAGTATCTGCTCGGGTGCAAGATCGGCTCGGGGTCCTTCGACTGCCGATGACGTCAAAGTACGGCAAACCGACTCGGACAAAATACACTACACGTCTATACTGTTGGAAAGAATTTAGCACTTTCGTTATTAAAATAACGTTTCTTAAGATGTAAGTTTGTGTTTATAATGGTATTTGTAAAATAAAACACTATATCTTATTCATAATGTTGAACTCCTCTTTGAGCACATCCCTTGAAGAATCATAGGTATTAGCAACACCTGTGAAATTTGCAGGAAAGAAGTGTGTCCCGTTTATTTAAGTATTTTGTGTTTAGAGTTTTTGACATCTTGTCATAGACTGTAGCTGCTAGCCAAAACTCTGGAGTTAAAAGTTTTCTGGCTTTACTAAAAAACCTGTCTGTACTTATTTGATTGATGGTATTTTTACTTTCTATTAGACTCCAAATGTAATCATTTGGCACGTTTGTAATTCATTATTTGCAATAATGTAATCGGCGATATTAGCATTA